AATAGAAATCTGCTATTTATAGAAAAAAAGTTATTTCTGATCTGTTTATAACATCTGGCTAAAAATAAAATCCAAAAGTATAACTAAATTATACACTGGGAAGGAATCTTGGAAATAAGTCTTCTCAGATTGAGTATTATGAACCTTCTTAAATATACACAGCGTAGGAGGAGACGTTTGACTCCTCATGGCTCTGATGTATCCTGGACAAATCCATCCAGGTTTAAAAAAAAAACATGTCAACCTAACACCAAACAGTTATCTTCACTTTATCGCTCTCATTTCAGGGTCACAGCTAACAGATGTGGGGGTAACTCTCTCGTCAGGGTCACAGCTAACAGATGTGGGGGTAACTCTCTCGTCAGGGTCACAGCTAACAGATGTGGGGTTGGACACATAGAAAAGACATTCTCTTACTGGATCGATGCCAAAAGGGTATGGCCCACCAAATACTCCAGGGATCGCTGGATTCAGCTGAAGGACAGAGCTTCCACGAAGTGTCTCCTCCCTACCATTTTAGGAGAAAAGACATAGTTACTTTTTCTTAAGAAAGGAAGCTACTGGGGTCCAGAAACTAAGCCCCAAATAACTACTAAGCGCTCTTGTCTCTTCAGTAAAAGCGGAGGGAGGGGCAGCTGAGGATGAGACACAATCAGAGATGACAAAAAGAAACACTGAGCACACACACACCACCAAGGGGGAGACTCTGGAAATGGGCGCTGTCATTTACAACGTGAGGACTGCGCTCGGTTCTCCGGGTCTCCAGACCAAATCACAAAGCACGTTGAGTGTATGTTGCCAACTCTTTCTTTAAATAGTATTAGTTTATCACTTGGCTTAAAAAAATCAAAGCTGGCTTGAGCAGCCATCTAAGGACCAACTATTGGCCTCTCCCTGTCTGGAAGAGATAGAGTGAAGAAAATCACAGATAAACGGAAACCATTAGTCCAATGGGCTAAGGGGCCATGCGAATATCAGTCTCCACAACGCTGCGACCAGAGGGACTAGACGGTGCCCAGTTACTGCTACACACTGCTCTGAAAGGGATCACATTAGAAGGTCCTGGAGAGACCAGGAGAAAAATGTGGAACAAAACTCAAAAATTAAAAAAAAAAAAAAAATACCAGGCTTACTGGTGGAACAGAGGCTGGTGGAAGCCCTGAGACTATGTCTCTCAGTGACGCCCCAGGTCTGGGTCTGAACTCACTCTCACTGGCTCCGTATCCAGCCACACCCCCGGCAGCTCTCTCGGGAACAGTAACACGAGGGAGACACGCATGCCTAAGAAAGTATCTATCATTTGAGATCAGAAGGAGCACCCTTACCCAAGGATTGAGTTCGAAAGGGTTAGGGGAGGAGGAGGGACAGAAACAGGGACAGAGTGATGCTCCATTGTCGGGACTGTCAGCAGTGACATGAAACACAGAGTCTATGGGAAATGGATCTGCTTTATAAACTTCCACCCAATTCACAATGAAAAACACGTTAAAAAAAAAAGATCAGCTGACCATGAGAGGACTCAGTTTTGACTTTTAGCTTCTTCTGCGACTTACGTCCAATTAGATTTCGTGAACATCGGCCGGACGCTCCAGGATGACCCAAAGATATTAAGGGACTTGGAAAAGCAGTCGTTGTAGATGAGGCCAGTGTAGATGGAGAACACGCCCATCAGCAGGATGATGTAGCGGCCACTGAACACAGTGCTGAACATCTGGGGACCAGAGGAAGAGGTCAGTGGGGCCCTCCGCGCAGCGGCACAGGTGTGGCCACGTGCTTTGGGACACACTCGCCCCTGCCTCTCACACCACTTGACCCCCCGCTGAACCAGAGACTCGCAGTCCACAATGCTGACCGAAAATTCACCCCACAGCACACGGCCTCTTCACTTGGCTCTTCCTAAACTCACCGCTCAACAGACTGCCCATTTTCATGACGGAGCACAAGCATTACCTCGTTCTCGTTCTTCTGAGAGAGAATCCGGCTCTCCCTCAAAACCATCCACATGGCAAAGAGGGTCATCAGGATGCCATGGCCAAAGTCTCCAAACATCACAGCAAACAGGAAGGGGAACGTGATGATGGTGTACGGGGCTGTGAAGAAACGCAGGAAGGAGAAAGACAAGTAGAGAAAACGGGAACAGTGAACACCCCCAAAGACCACATTCCTCTCCCTACTCTCGGATCATGAGACAGCGAACGATCCCCAAGCTGCAGACAGGTGGACCGTCAGGAATCGCCTTCCCTGGTAGGGGTCGGAGGTGCTGCATCCAACATCTTAAACAGAGAACCCAGGAAACAACGGCCGCGCGTCTCCAGCTGCCCTGGCAATGGCAAGGCTGGCTGCAAGGCCCTTGCCATCCCCCGGGACCCTGCGCCTGGGGCACAGCAGCTTTCCTCTTTTGTGCAACTGCACTGTCCAGCCGACACAGCTACTGGGAAGCGAGAGAAGCCCTACAACTGAGAGCAAGGGGAGTCCTGCGGAAAATGAGCCTCAGATTGTTGATGGACTAATTCACTCTGCAAGCACAGCAGAAATCGGCCTTGTGCCTACTGTGGACAATTGCTTTGTTTTCTCTGTCTACCTGGGAAGCCAGGAGGAAGGCCATTTAAATATCACACATCTTAGAAAAAGGCATTTTGCTTAAAGCAGCCACGGCAAATGGTTCACCAGGCAAAGCTTCTTCATCGGTGGGTCACAACCTCATTTAGGCTATTGTGTAACAGAATGTGGGGGCTTGAAAAATATGCCAAGAGTAAAAGGCTTCTGAATGCACAAACGACCAAACATTAATCCCAAATCAAGCACTTATGAATCCGAAGCACTTCTGCCAGTGCCAGAAGAAGCCAGCTCCTAGCACAATCACTACGGGTTTGGTAGGCGCAATTGTACAGCGATAATAAGTAAATATTATAGTAAAGTTATAGAGAGCATGAGAGA